TCTTGATTTTTTTGCAAAGGCACAAGAAGCACGAGAATTGATTAAAAATTGTGAGTTAAACCTCTATGTATCACGCAATGGCCTGTCTCACTGTACCAAAATTATCATATCTCGGTGAGCATTGAACCGCTTCATAAACTTAAAATATATCAGGCTCAGGCTCCTCTAATCGTTTTGAAACTTACCAAGCATCTGGTACCCACTTGTACATTTCTTGTTACGTTAAACTCGTCTAACATGAATTCGCCTTACAGCGTTAATTTTATAGCAAAAATAGAGAATAGGATGATGGTAAATTATATTCGTCATGTTTTTTCCTCTTCCTGTGGGCGTTCGTGCTCATAACTCAACAGGAAAAGGGCAGGTGAAAATAAAAAAATTTATATAGCTACTGAGAAGATATATGACGGATACGAGATTCAACGACAAGTTATGAATGTTCGCAACTCGCCTAAGGAGTTTAATTTTAGGTCAACTTTTTTGCAACCAGCTTCTTGAAAGGCTGTATAAAAACTCCACTTCCCAAGTGGCTATAACAGAGTGGGGAAAGAATGTTTCTCCTTGTAAAAAAAGAGAAATAATCGTCGACAGGGTGCCGTGTAAAGAATAAACGCAACACTGCTACCAAACTGGTAGACTTTCTCAAAGCCCGTTTCCGGTTTCTGCACTAGTGTCTACCAAACTAGCAGACTGTCCGTCAAGTTTTCATTTATTCTGACAGCTCACAGTTAAACACAGTTAATACGATTACACTGAAAACAATACTCTCGTCCACTAGCAGTTTCTCTACCACGTGCTGTGTGCCAAAGAACACTTTTAACCTATTATTACCAGCACAAAGTTATTAAACGACATCACAAATGACAAACGCTATTAATCGGTTACACGGCATAAGTATTAAGTGGTAAATAAAGGAATTTCCATATTAGTAGAAAAATCTCTCAGTTTTTTCCAGCGGAGATAGAGGAGAGAAACATAAATTAAACAAATTGATGTTTTTTTTTTCAGAACAGCCGTTGTACGGAAATTATTTGACATCAGATTCTCATACAAACACTGTAATTTGTCACACGTTTGCCTACTCTTCAAGATGGCGTCGAAAACCGTGACAAGGTCTATTTTGGTATTCTTTAGGACAGCTAATATATAGACTTAGCAGAGGCGTAAAAGCAGCGCTTACGTTAAATTTTTAACAATTATTCGCCGAAGGCGAAGTTGATATTAACTGAGCCTGAGATGAATAATTGTTTAGGTATATTCACACGAAGTGATCAGAATCAAAAAGGAAACCATTAAAAAGACGATTAGTGTGATTGACGGGCGAATTCTTGCGTGAAAACGAAGCCGTAAACAGTGAATGCGCGAAAGTTAGATCTTTACAGTATCTTCAAAAATGGAAAATGATAGTTTAATCTTTTGTATCTATTTTTTGAAGCTTTAGCATCAACGGTTTAAAAGAAAACGCCGAAAATTTGAATTACTACCCAATTCTGAGAAGAAAAGTAGAGCTTTATTTGTTTCTGTCAACTCACCGTGAATGAGAATTTTTTTTTGTCGCTTCTGGCGTGCGGCTACGATCAAGGTGAACGTTGTTTATCTGCAGTGTTCTTTCCCTTGTCAACTTGCTAGCACGTACAATTGTCGAAAATATTTGCCTTCCTTTTTTCTTCATAAATTAACTTCTATTTATAGGCAAAATTGGTCTTGCGAGAAAATCGCGAAATCACAAAAGAGTGATAAAGCGGCCTCGTTTTGCTGTGTAGTGGTAAACATAGCTTCGAGCGTACAAAAAGTCAACTACAGTAAACCACTTACAATAAATCACGCTGTTTAAACACCATGAAATCTTTCTTACCTTCAAAGTCGTCAACACTTGGATATTATTGTAAGTTCTTACCATGAAACTTTGGCAAAACACCCACTTCATGACAGCGATTTTGTTCTGCTTTATATTCACCGCCTAGCGCGGTGAATATAACGTCGTAGTCCGAGATAGCGAACCAATCAAATTACTTGAATCACCAAGATCACTGAGTGTGTATATACTAATATCATTTACTCAAAACAATAAACTTCTAATTTTCAGATCTTACTGTTCTTCCACACTAAACTTTGTATAACCGCACTGTTTCTGTGCAATACGGATCGACCAAACTAGTAAGGTAGATTTTCTCCTGAAATTCTAAACATGATATTGCTACAGCTGCCTCGTACCCAGACGTCTCTCTGTCGATGAAAATGTGCGCGCAAAAGAAGGCGGGAAGGAGACAACGGGCCTCGACCGCCGTCTGTACCCTTCCCATGGTCCCTTGCGGTTCATCACCAGCCGCTCCTCTACCTTGCAAAAAACGAAGCGCCTGAGGAGGAGGCTGTTGCTACAGCCTTTTAACAACTGGGTTGTGCATCTTCTTTAATCCCTATAAATCCAGCGTTTAATCTAAAACCTTTCATAACACTGAAATACTTACATGACTTCTGTGATTATTTGGAATACTTAACCTGAAAAAAAGAAATCTATTCTACCAGTTAATCTCTCTTAGTAAAAAATCGGAGACTGCTTTTGTTGTGTCCATTACCAGGGACCGCGGAGCAAGGTGAAAAGTGGGAGGGCTGACAATTGAAAATAATTTTTTCATATTGAAAATCGAAAAAAGGAATAAAGATTCATTGCAAGAAAAGACGCGATTACAATGTTAGTATAGAAAATACTACACTGAAGTGATCTGAAAAATTTCTAACTATGGCCGTCCACTGTTCAAGTAATGTAATTCTTCTTGCCATCGAATATTTCATTGATTCGAAAAGAGAAAGACAAAATATAAAACTTTTATGAACTCAAAACAACTACTCACCTTCGTTTGGCTTGAAAAAGCTAGTAATTTTCTTCATTTCGTCTGATAAAACTGATAAAAAACTCTGCCGGAGCTGGAAGTACAAAACACACTGCCGAACGAAGCGAAGGGGTGGCCAAGGCATGGCGTTTGATCAAGGGGCAAGTCGGCCCCAGGGCACAATTACCGCGAAAATTAAAGCACAGGAGTCCCACAAAATGCCTGGCCTTTGAAATTCAAGAAAATGCAGAGAATATAGCGGAATATAGACGGGAAAATACTTGTTTCAAGTCTTTTTTTTTATTTTAATTTTTTTTCTTTTTAGTGCAAAAAGTAGGGGCAGGGGCGCAAAAAAGTGGTGGGGCCGCGGCCCACCAGCCCCTCCCCCTCCGCGGTCCCTGATTACGAATACCTCATATTTTTCCGTTAAAACGTGAAAAGTTACTAAAGTAACTTACTGTCAACAACAGTCCTATTCAGGACAACGTTCATCCGGACGATCATGCTCAACCTACTTATGAGATGACTCCTGGGTTCAAACCTTTCGCAAAGAGAGGGGAGTTAAATTCATAAAAGAAAGGAAGACCCTTTGCGTTTTTAGGTTTTTGTAACACAGTGCAAACAACTGCGCAACTTTGTCAACCTAAAAAACGCTTATGATTCCTTCAAAAAGGGCACAACCGTAATACAAATATTGAGAGAAAAATAACGCCAGAATATTGCTTCACTGGAAAGTAATTGGCTGAGCTCTGCAAGTTCAAGTACGGTTAAAATAAAAACTACTGAAATGCATGCCAAACAGCAAGAGAATGGAGATCTTCCCGAGTGGGTTATTGTAAAACTGGACGCAATTGCTGCATACCAATACTGTGAGAATAAATCCTATAGAAGCCACCACTGTTATTCCAGTGACGGTTGTGAAGGTGATGTTGACAACAGGTAACTTTCCACACCCAGCGTGCCTTTTATTTGACTTTGTCTCTGGCTCACACTTTGTACAGGTGGTGGATCCAAGAGAAAAATTGAGTTCATTTCAAACCTCTATTTACACTGGGATTTGTTTTTCTTTGGCCTTAGCAGGTTATTATCCCAACCAGCCATAGACAGATTTCACCCCACTCGTTTATTCTCGCTGACGCGTTCGTTCGCGTGCCTTTTCCGTAAAATGGCCGTTTTCGCTGTGCCAGCGTCATTGTAGTAATGGTCTTCTTGTTTCTTTTTCGTCTTTCAAAGTCTTTTAAGGCCACCATTCGGTGCATATGTAATACTGTATCAATAGATCAATATACCCATTCGACCTTTTATACCCCTTCTATCTCCTTCAGTGAAATACCTGTTGCTCTTGGGGCATTCCTTAATTTCCAACGTGTGGAAAAAAGCCAATGCAGTAAAGGCTGTCTGGTAAACCCCGTTTGGATCTAAATAAATTATCTAAGTTAAGCAAGGTTTTAATCTTAATCTGACAAATCTTACAAAGTATAACAAAAGTTAGAAACCGAAGAAAACTGTCGAACGTATTGTTTTTTATATTTACTCAACTTCTGGTAAACTGGAGAAATATAACCCATCATGGTTGTTTAAGTACAAGCCCTTACGTTTTCTGGCTCCAGAGCGTTGTTAGGTTACCCGGTATTGACAACTACCTGCATTTCGAAAACCTTGTTCAGCTGTACAGCGGACAATGTTATCCAAAGCGTACGCAATGGAGTACCCAGCATCAATCGTATACGATACGAGGGAGCTCTGTAACTTAGGAAACGCATGATGTAACGTAAAATTCTCCCTGCAGGCCTTAGTTCCCAATTCAAACGATCGAGCGACTAAACAGTTAAATTGCGATCGCCAGAATTCTCTCCACCATTCTACGCCGATCGTGGCGCTTTTTGCAGGGGTGATCATCTTAACGTGCTCCTCAAATGTAGGAAGAGGATATACAGTCGTATGAATCTATTACTTGTGATCCACTGAGGATCGAGCAGCGCGGGTCTAACAGAAAAGTATTTCTTCGATGGTGTTTCCGTCGTCTAGTATAAAGGTCTTTCCTTGTAAGTCTTTTTCGGTTGCCTTAATGAGGAAAGTTTCCAGATATTTTCCATAAAGCCAAACGATGACCACTCCTATTCTACGGTGCGTCTTGATTTTAAAAAGTGTCTGTTTCAGGTTTTCGTGTTAGTCTAGTCGTGGAATTAACTCATAAAGGACAATGCAGATCGTTTTCCTGTTGTAAGCTTCTTTCTCCAACGCCAAAATTCCTTTCCGTCCATAAGAATCATCCAAACCGACAGCCGCCACGTATGTCCAGTTAAAGAGCTCTATTATGTCTGCCATAGCCACTTGTCAGAAGGGGCTGGCCTGAAAGAGTCATTGTAAAATTGGAACCTCAATTCTATGCTTGTTGCAGTTGAACTAATGGCAGGAATCCTAGCGACCTTTAGTGAGCTTGCTACCAATAACGCTCAGCTCGAGTCTAGAAGGGCATATTAGCGCTGAAATGGGCTTGGACCCGACTGACCTTGTAAAATTGCTCTTGACAGACGTAGAAGCGTCCGCAGAAAACCATTTTTCTTGTCTAAGTCATCATCTTTATTTTTGCTGCCTGAAACAAAGTAGTTGTGAGGTAGCCACCTAGTAATACGTCAGCAACATCTCTTAATTTCATCGAGAGAACTGATAATCTAAACCGGTTTTTGTGTTTGTATAGATACTTGCTTAATGTTGCTGGTTGACTCTCTAACTAAAGACTAAGCACCAATCATTCCCACGACCTGCTGGACACGAATAGTTTGAGTCGTTTAAGAAAGCTCGTCGTGAAACACTAAATTTTACATATGACAATCGTTTTTGAAGTGAGTATCATTCCGAAGTCATTTATTAGTCATGAGTAAGAAAAAATTGTGAAAAGGAGGCAGTAGGCCGGCAGTATTTGATAAAGAGGACTCACTTTCCTTCTGGAATAGCCTCTCGAGCACAAACAGCAAACCATTACTTTAAGAGGGATCGATCGCCATCCAGTTTTTGTACTAAAATGTAAACTCACTGTAAATGGTGTTTTTGCGAAAGTAGCAAAACTTATCATTTAAATTGGGCACTATACAAAAGCGTACTCTAAGTCTCGTGCATCGCGCTGTATCGTGTCAAGTTAAAAAAGAAGCACTGGTTTTGACTCGTGTCAATGCTGTAGCACACTAAGGATGTTTCCACAGGCATCGCATGCACTAACTTAGCTTGACGTTTCTGTTTTAGCGACTACCTCTGTTTTTAAACCGGCAGAAATTTCTCGAAGAGCTTCTTTAAGTGAATTTAGGCTGGATTGCTTATCTTTAGATGACCGCCAGCAGAGATATAAAAGGAACCCGTCCTTTCCCCATGGGAAATGTTTTTAGTTTTAAATTGTACAATGACATATGACTTCTGGATCGAAATTAAGTCGTAATTGTTAAGTTACAAAAAATGCTTTTTGAAATGGGGTAAGTAAGCACCTTAAACATATGAGTCGTTGTAAAATGTTTTGTAACGTTCAATTAGGCAATTAAATACAAATTCGCTTTTCAATGTCTTATCCCACTTAATTTTTTTTAGTTGTGCAAAATCTGGTATCTCCACCTGTTCTTTTTGCCTTAATTGGAAATTCCTGTTAGCTTAGTTGTGGGCACGAACTCCTGAGGAAAAGAAACAGACGAATATAACTAATTTTGCCTTCCACTCCCCATTTAATGAAAGATGTTCGCCGGAAGTGTCCTGGAGACGTTTTCCCGCTATTTTGAACTAAGTCTACGCTTGTGGCAGATGAGCTGATGGTAGGAATATCAACGAATTGAAGAAAGCTTCCAACCAGCACGTGCGCTGGCGGATTGTTTCAGGACCAATAAGCACTGAGAATGAATGAATGAATGAATGAATGAACAACTTTATTAACGTGTCAAAATCTTCTAGCTGGCGACAAGTAACCTACTAATCGGGGACACCTAGTTAATAAAATCTATTTAATAAGCTTAAGATTACATTGGATAATATTTACAATAAACATTCACTATAAGATTACATTAATAACGTTAAAATATTATATATAAAAATGAATAAATAAATAAGTAATAATAATAACAATAAAATAGTCCACAATCTAATTAATCTAAAAGTAAATTAACAAGTACGGTCTCAAGTATTACACAAGTTACAATTTGAACATCTGTTCTCAGCTAGGAAAGGTCTTTCTTCCGAATACTGTTTTGAATGCCGATAATGTGGCTAGGTCCCTGTCCTTTTTCGTCGATTTGGACCATAAAAATGGTTCCAAGGTATCTAATAGAGTGTCTGCCATATTTCACGGTATTGAACCTAGGAATAAAGAAGTCTGAATTTCGTAGGGTTAATTGGCTTGCATCTGTTTGCATGGTACCGTCTATTGCAAAATTATCTTGTATGAAGTCGCAGGCTATTTTCACCGCCCCATTCGTGCTAAAACAGTAGTTTCGTATGTCATAGCCGAGTGTCACGTTTGAAAGAAAAACGGGATTCTTGTTTATGCGTTGAATAGCCAATATTATAGCTTCTTCATGCCCAGTCCTGTTGTGAAAAGATTACCGCAGCGATTATCACTCTCAACTAGGGAAGAGTATGCTGAGCAGACCGGCACACCACTGTGAGATGCTAGAAATAGTATCCAAGTCTGTTCATTGAGTTTTTGAGCAGTTGCTTTTGCAAAAATCGCACTTCCGTAAATGCCAGAAAGCCAAACGATGCTCACTGCGGTTTCAGACTTTCATTTTAGGACAGCTTGACTGATTTTATCTTTGTAGTCTAGCTGCGGGATATACTCAGAAAAAAATAAGGCGAAAGGTGTCTGTGTTTTAAAAATACCATTCTATTCATAAGAATCATCCAAACGCACCGCCGCCACGTATCTCCAGTTGAAGAATTCTATGATGTCTGCCACTGCCTCTCCTTGGCAGACATCTGGTGGAACTGTTCTGGAGAGGTGTTCTTGGACGTTTGAACTAAGCTCTATGCTCTTTGCAGTGGGGCTTATGGCGGGAATATAAAAAATTTGAATAAGGGCCACCTACTAGTACTGCACCTCCAGCATTGAAAGGTGCAAGAAGTGCTGAGATTACCTTGGTTTTGTTTTTCGTGACACAGCTGTTCGAAAAAAAGCTGGCGTTTTGATTAGACCTGGATAATTACCACGCATTAGTTCATAGGCTATTTGCATGACCAATGCACCGCTCTAACAGAGGTCTCTTAACTCGTAACCGATTGGCACGTTCGGAACAATAGTGAAATTCGTGTTCATTTTCTCGATGGCATAGATCATAGACTTTGCATTGCCAAGATCTGTTGTAGAAAGCCTGTTACATTGATTACCAGTTTCAGAATAGTGGTTTTTAAGGAGTCCTCCAATTATTATTTTGCCATCTTTATAAATTTTATGCGCATATTTGGAAGTTGTTTGTTCATAGCCAAAAAAGAGTGGCGGTTTTAAGATGCACGAAGGCACTACGTTTTGAATGATCGTCACCGTCCTTGTGTGGTTTGGACAGAAACAAATTATAGACTGTACATTTATACATTTTTCAGGAAAGCATAATATTTTATCCACAAATCTGTATGATTCCTACCTACCTTCAGTCAATCATGTATTAAGGAAACTTGTATTTAAAAGCGTTCACCCTTAACACCCTAACTGACCATAGTGTCAGAAACCATTTCCCAAATTTGCCACTTCTGCATTTTCATGGTACACTCCGTATACTAAGTGAGAAAAACTAGCCTCCTCTGTTCCCTGTGTTTAATTACATGTGGGGCTACCTGTCAATACCCCGGCTGGGTCTCGCTCGGTTGTTAATGTTCGTTTTTCTGTCTATAAGTTCACTCAGGTTAGCAAATATAAAAACAGGTCTTGAAGGAAATTGTTTAAATTCTTCTTTTCCCTTGTTTATTCGCTAAAAGAATAGCTGGTTGACAAACTGGAGAATTGTAACTTGTCAAAGTTCACTTGTACAGTCCCTCTTGCTGTTTCACTCCAGAGCAACGTTGGGTACTCCCTCATTGATCGGAGCAGGGAAAACTCTTGTTGCCGTTACGTTATTAAATGAGAAATTCATCACCTGCGACCTGACGCTTTGCATGGAGTTTTGCTGGGGACGGAAGAGAAGAATGAAGAGTTTTGGTCCGAACATGCAGCCCAACAAGCCAAACGAAGTTATTAACGCCGTAGTACATGATACGAGTGTTACGTACCAGCTGTCAAAAGCAAACGCCACAGGGTAATATGCTATTGATGACAATAGTAGAATGTACATAGAGAATCCTATGTATTTTGTTTCGTTAAAGTTCTCGGGAATTCCTCTTGCTTTGAAAGCGTAATATGTGCAGAAGAGAGCCACAATTAAGGTGTAACTACAGACTGTGATGAACAGTGCAAGACCAATGTTTGTGTCGAAAGGTTTGCAAACAATAAAGATGTACTCATCTGAGCGGATGATCTTTTTACGCCTTGGAGGATCCAGAACGATCCACAGGGCCAACAGAGAGAGGGCAGTTAAATTCATAACAAAAAGGAAGACGAGTTGCGTTTTTAGGTTTTTGTAACACGGTGCAAATAACTGCGCAACTTTATCAACCTCAAAAACGCTTGCGATTCGCATCGTTTTCAAAAACAGCACCGTAATACAAATATTGAGAGCGAAATAACGCCAGAATGTCGCTGCACTGCAAAGTAATTTGTTGGGCTCTGCAAGTTCAAGGACGGCTAAAATAAAAACTGCTGAGATGCCAAACAGCAAGAGAAGAGAGATTTCCCTGCTGGAAGCCTTCACGATTGGGGTATTGTAAAACTTGACCCAAGTACCGCAGACTAACAATGTGAGGATAATTCCAACGAAAGCCACCAATGTAATAGTTATTCCAGTGGCGGTTGTGAAGGTGATGTTGACAATAGGTAACTTCTCACACCCAGTGTGCCCTTCATTTGACTTTGTCTCTGCCTCACACTTTGTACAGGTGGTGGATCCAATGTCGGTGCTGATAGTTCCAGGAAGACACTTTTTACATTCCCAACAGCATGGCTCGGTGATTTCTTTTCTGGTGCGAGGCAAGCACTCTGAGGAACAGAACGAAAACTGAGTCGAGAGGCTTTTCCATTGTAATCCCGAGACATTTAAATTGAGTCTAGGCGTACCTTCTCTATCCCAGACTCCAATCCGAATCTTTTTACGAGCTCTCTCTGTGGTTGATCTACTTCGAAAGTTAATAATGTCGTATGAAGCAGATAAAGGATCACCAAACATGTCAAACTGAACTTTGCCAGTTAAACCATCAAAACTAACATTTCGGAGATACTTCTGTAGATCACGTCCCTTAACAATCGGCTGTTTCGAGGAAGAACTATCTCTATTCGTAACTAAATAGTGTTTAATGTTATCCAGAGCGTGCGCAATAGCGTAAACAGCGTCAATGTCATACGACACGAAAGAGTTCCGGATCTGTTTTAGGGCATTGTGTAGCGTCAGATTTGATTCGCAAGTTGGAATTCGTCCCAGATCAATTGCTGAGCAGTTGAATTCTAATCTCCAGAACTCCTCCCACCACTCTCTGCCTCTTTCAAGGCTTTTTGCAGGGGTGATAATCTTAAGATGCTCTTCAAAGTCGGGTACGGGATAGTCATGTGGCTGTATTCCTAAGGAGCCATTAAGCATTGCGAAGTCAGGGTCAAGTAACACAGCTTCTTCCGAGGTCAATGCGTCGCTGAGTATCCAAGTCTTTTCTACAACGTTTTTACTAGTTGCCTCTCGAAAAAATTCTCTACCATAATCGCTTGCTAGCCAGACGACGATTACTCCGATATTAGACCTGAGCTTAATCTTAGCAACCGTTTGCTTGATCTTATCATGATAGTCTCGTCGTGGGATGTGCTCAGAAAAGGCAACGCAGAAGGTTTTTCTGTTGTATGATTCTTTCTCTAGTGCCCAAATACCATTCCGTCCGTAAGAGTCATCCAAACCCACAGCCGCCACGTATGTCCAGTTAAAGAGTTCTATAATGTCTGCCATGACCTTTGCCTGCCAGATGTCAGGTGGAACTGTTCTGAAGAAGTTTTCGTGCAATTTTGAACTCAAGTCTACGCTTGTGGCAATTGAGCTGATGGCAGGAATGTCAACGACTTGAAGAAAGCTTCCAACCAGCACTGCGCTGGCGGAAGTGTCAGGACCAATAAGCACTGAGATCGGCTTGGATCCGTTTTGCATGGTATTGTCCGTTGCAGAATTATCTTGCATGAAGTCATAGGCAATTTTCACAGCCATGTCCGTGCTAAAACAGTAGTTTCGTATGTCATATCCGAGTGTCACGTTCGGAAGAAGAACGGGATTCTTGTTTATGCTTTCAATAGCGAATATTACAGCTTCTACATGCCCCAGTCCAGTTGTGAAAAGATTACCGCAGTGATCATCACCCTCTGGTAAGCGTATGCTGAGCAGACCCCCGATTATTACGTCGCCATCCTTGTAAGCTCTAAAATCGTGGTTGCAGAATGTTTGTGGAATAAATGGGGATATAAACAGAAATAGTCTTAAGACGCTGGAGAATACTTTACTTCTCATCCAAGTCATCGTCTTTGTATGCTGTGCAGTAGTACCCTGGAGGAAAATCATATTGATAGACATATGGACATGCTAACATGATTCCCCTAAAATATTTCCCAAGCCCGCTGGAGATAGCCAGACACACAAAAAGAAGTGTAAAGTATCAAATTATCAAAGTATCAAACCGTTTTGACCTTTTCGCTCATGTTTAACAAACGGAAAAGGAAATATCAAAGGAATTTGGATATAGCCTTAACAACATGATCAACATATACCCTTGCTTAGTCTTATTTTATTGTGAATAATATTTCGTGAATTGAAAGAACGGGTTGTCCGACGGCGGTTTTCACCTTGCTGAGGATGATCGACGTTTACCCTTTACTGGAGGAAAAAGGTGGCATCAAACGTTTCAGTAACTGTGACTATGATACTTTACTAGAGCGAGCCGATACACCCAGCCTGGCAAATACGAGAATTAGCAATAAATTTATGATGATGTGTATTTTGAAATGCATTAACTTTATTAACTATCCAGAATACCTTAAAGAGGTATTTCAGTTTAGCACGACTGAATATAGCTTAAGAGGTACGAATGTGTTAGTCTGGCCAAACCCCAAACACCTACATATAGCCTTAACTCAGTTAGAAATGCCGCATCGGGGGGGGGGGGAAGGGTACTTCCTTATAAGAGGCTAATGGGGAGGTGCCGCTGGATGGGGTCGCATTTTCAATAGAATTGCTAGATTGGTGTCGCACACTTTCGGAATTTTGGGTTAAGACAGTTCTTCATATTCGAGGTTAGCAAACGCACCAGAATGTTTGTACTGTAGATGAAAAGTAAAGTGTTCTTCATTCAATCTAAAAAATGGGTCAATTCATAAAAATAGAAAGTGACTAAGTTGGGATTGCGAACATTACATATTTTCTCCAAAAGTGACTAAGGTGGGTCTAAAATTGGCCACAGAAAAGACTATAGTGGGGTAGGGGCTCTGAGAGGTCAGCGGCACATGTACCTACCATGCAGCAAAAATTAACCCAAGTACCCTCCCCGGGATGCCGCAGCGAAATATTGGTACTCGCCTCCCGATTCTTTTAGGAGAACCATTAGTCTGAAGGAACTTAGACGTTTACTTGTTTCTCATAGTTTCATAAATTAGACGTTTACTATTACCAACGGTTTGTGTTTTAATGTAAATATGATTTTTATGTGTGATGTTGTATGTGTCACTCAACGGAGATACTAGCCTTTAGGCTACTCTAAGATCTGAAGTTAAATAAAGTTATGAATGTTTGTGGTAGTAATTTTGGCAATTTTGTTACTCAAACGGTGTAAATGGTTTATCATTCGAAAAGCCTTTAAGTCAAAGCCGTAGAGGAAACATTAAAATTGAGTGATAAGGTATTTGTGAACATTCTGATCCAAAAGGACACTCGGAAGAAACAGTAATATATTCACTTCTATCGTCATTTCAAAACGGCCAAAAAAAAATCCTTTTGTTATTGGAGGTTAGAGAAAAAACTGAATTGTTGAGTTTAGAGCCCTTTCCATTCATATCCAGAAACGGTCAATAAGCTAAAAATATTGTCACATTCACAAGGTGTCTTCTGATTTTAAGACAGCAAATTTCTGAGCAGGAATTTAGTGCAAAAGGGAACTAGTGCTAGTAGTAACCTTACCGATACATGAATCACATTCAGTAGGCTGGGAACGGTTCTTCGCTCTCTTACTCTTGCGCCAAATTAGTGACAAAACCCTTTCTGTTAGTTTCACTTATATATTTTTCGTATTCAACGCAAAATAATCAATTCAGGCGATGTCAGGAGAAGTAATAAAACGATTGTTGTTTTACAATACCATCTGTTTTTGCGTGGGTCCATTTCAAATTTAAATAAACCATTAATTTTTTGGTAATCTTCTCATTGAGTGAAACCATTGGTAGTTTGACTGGAAATTTTGACTACTTTGACACTCGGTGATCGGATAAGTCATTTACAATTTAAAGTGCTCCTACGACGAAAATGTTTGGCTTCATTTCCTCCTTTTTAAAAGGTTCGAAGATATACAATTCGGGATAAATTAGATACTTGCGTTCTCGGATTGGACATCTTTGATTGAAAACTCGCAAAAACCATCTGCCTTTTTTCGTGATACGCAACATAAAGCCAGTGAGATTTTACTGACATGGTCTTACCTTTTACCACATAATTTATTTTCTTGTTGTGACTTGACAGACTAGTCTTAAGACTAATGGTTGGTTCGTTGGGTCGTTTTCAGAGTGTGAAAAATGTTTTACTTAACGTATTTATTATCTGATTCATATGAATGTGATTCAGAACAATGTTTTATTGGCAGATTGCTCTGAGATGATAAAAAAAGTCCCTCGCTATCGATCAAGAAGGCGCCCTCCGAACAAGAGTAAGAACTATAGCTCCAGAGGAGATTCACTCAGCAAGCCGAAGTAAATATATGTGAGCTTACGAACGAGAAATACCATATGTTGTGCAGCGGGACGGTTTTGTTAAACATATCGTATGCCTTGGAAACTGCCAGCCGGGAGGCCAACCTTTTGTTCACATTTTAATAATCGTTGTGAAGCTCAGTGGCTCTCTTGGACTCATTTTATCAGATAATTTGGAGCAGTTCTCCCACAAGTATCGTAAACACTGCTTTTTATTCGCCTGCACAGTGTATAAAGAAGGCTTTTGTCTTATGGTGAAGGGAAAGAAAAGATTTTTGAAATTTTTCATTGAGTATTTTAAGCATATCAGCAGGTGCCCGGGTGTTAATTCGTCGAATGCAGTAATAAGTGGTTTAAGAACCGGCTAGCAGGAGTTTGTCATTTTATTTCTCCGAAAAATATAAAAACCTGTTTAGCCAAGCCAGATGACGCAAGTTTTTATATGTTGGTTTTAGTTAGATTATTCAAGGAAATTTTCACCCAGGAGTTTGTCTTTGATATTGCAAGTTTATATTACAAGAAAATACTTTACTTTACTTTAAATGTTCCTGCTCATATGTTTCTGTCCTCTTCGATGTATTAATTTAAATTTATCCTGTGGTATATGCATACAGTTGAACCTGTCCACAATGGCCACCTTGGTGACAGAACAAAGCGGCGGTTTTAAAAAGGTGGCCATTGTAGAGAGGTGGCCGTTCGTGGAGGTTAGTCCTAATACAGGTGACAGAAATCAGTAAATATAAACGAAATGTATAATGTATCAGAACAAAAACTTAAAACTATATAAACTTAAAGCTTTATATGATTTATTTCATATATCATTAACACTATATAAACTTCGTTTTAAAGACATCTAACGTTTTAATTACCAGCTTTCAAATGAGGTGGCAAATTACTAAAAGCTTGCATTGTAGTATGAAATTGCAGCCTTTCTTTGCAGATTCTGTACGTACCTTAGGAATTAAACCTTTACGCATAGTGATGACTTGATAAAATAATTCCTAAACAAATCTGGAGCATTGTTATGGACATACTTAAACCTTCACGTAAACTCAAAGGTTGGATTATGTATACAGTCGAACCTCCACTAACGGGCACCTTTCCACACGACCACCTCTCTACAACGGCCACTTTTTTGGCGGACAGTCCATACATTGACTCTTGATGTTTAAACCTCCCTACAACGGCCACCTCTCTACAACGGCCACTTTCTTCTGTCCGTAAGGTGGCCGTTGTGGAGAGGTTTAACTGTAGTAGAACGTGCCTTATGGGACACTTAGCTTTATTGGAATAACAGCTGATTGTGTGAGGCTATGTTCACACCACAGTCAAACGTCTTTAATAAGGACACCAAAGGGACAGAAACAAGTGTGCGCTTTACAGAAGTGTCCGTATTCTAGAGGTGTCCGTAAGGATAGGTTAGACTGTTCAGTCCAACTGCTCCTTACGGACACCTCTCTATTACGGACAGTTCGTTTGGTCCTAGAAATGCAAAAAATCATACATTCCTTACCTCTATAATACGGACACTTCTGTAAAGCCGACACTTGGTTAGTCCCTAGTGTCCGTATTAATTAAAAGAGGTTTAATTTGACTGTATATCGGATAGCTTTTGCGCCGGCACGCCGGAAACTTCACTAAGCTTAACAACGTCAAATGATTAAGTTGCATAGCAGTTAAGTTTCAGCATATTCAGTTTTCTTAGGGTGACAGAACAGATCGTTCTTGTTTGACCAATCCAAAAGGAATTTGAGCTTGTTTTTTTAACACTTAAAATAGCTGGTTTGCATCCGAGGCAGCGTAATAGAGGACCGTATCACCTGCGTACATTAACTCATTGAAAGCTGTCAAACAATTAGGTAGATCTGTGACAAACAATGAAAATACCAAAGGGCCCATAATAGAACCTTAATGAACTTTGGACACCATTTGTTGTGGAATGGACATATTACACCTCTTAGGAAAATAGCTGGTTACGATCAGTAATATAAACAGTCATCCGGTGATGTTCACCTTCACAAATCCCAAATACCTGCAGCTTATCAGGCCTATCTGGAAGTTATGTCATCAAATGACCGGAAGTGGAACTCTCATGTCAGTATAAATGTTACAAAGTAAATAAGCCATTCGGATTTGTGAGAGGTAATATATACCCTACACACAAAACGCTAAACCTAAAATTTGTTACTATTGTTATACCAAATTTAGAGTATCCTGCCGCGATGTGGGTTCCAAACCACCATTAGTAGATCGATACAATTGGAGAAGAACAGAAACGTTAAACAGGCGATGATCTATGATAACCGTTACGAATATAGAAGAATTCATGTCCAGGTAGTTTCTGTCAAGGTAGTTGCTACAGTTTTCTGTAGTTTTTGTGGTTGTTGTAGTTGGTATAGTTGGATGTAGTTGATATAATTCCTGTTGTTGGTGTAGTTTGGTGTAGTTGCAGTAGTTGCTGTAATTTCTGTATTTGGTCAGTGCAGAGGCCTTCGCGTAGGCTTTCTTTAGTTGATCTGATATGTGTTCTTTATAGGATAGGTCCTTGTCTAGAGTAACTCCGAGAATCTTAATAGATCGGAGAAATTCGATTCTAGCATTATTGAGAAATAAAGAATAATGATAGGCACAGGATCCGACAGATAATGCTTGAGTCTTAGTACTGTTCACTGTTAAATGGTTAAACTCAAACCACGACGAAAGAGTCTGAAGATCTTTGTTGAAGGAAAATTCCAGAATGGTGGAGATACATCAGACAGGTAGGCAGTCGTGTCATCAGCGTACAGCCGCAATGAGACATTAGGAACACAGAAATTCAAGTCATTAATGAATATGTTGAACAGCAACGGCCCCAATAGTGAACCTTGAAAAACGCCAGATTTAACTGTTTTGAAGTTGGAGCATACGCCTTCTAATCTGACACATTGTTGACGACCTAGCAGGTAGATGGACATCAGTTCCAAGGCATGTGGAGAAAAGCCGTAGGCCTTCAACTTTGCGAGCAGAAGGCTGTGGTTTATGGCATCAAACGCTTTACTCAAGTCCACAGCGACCGCCGCCACAGCTTCCTTGTTATCAATACTGTTCCTCCAATCTTCTGTCATTTTTAGCAACGCAGTGCAGCAAGAGTGAGTTTTCATAAATCCAGATAAGTCTGAGGACAAAACGCTGTGAAATGCATTCCAAGTTTGGTCGTAAATAACTTTCTCAAATACCTTCGATAGCGAAGTTAATATTGAGACAGGGCAGTAGTTTGCTTTGTCTGTGTCAATCCCCCGTTTAAAGACAGGGGTAAGGCGCGCTTGCTGCCATTCAGACGGCAATGACCGATTCCGAATACAGAAGTTGATCAACTTAGTCACCTCTTCGGCAAGAACTGGGGATCCTAAACGCAAGATTCGTGGTGAAATGCCGTCTACCCCAACTGCCTTTCTCGGATTAAGGTGGTCTAAGATGTTACGGATATATGAAGTACTGACTGGGGAGTAATTAAACTCACTTGAGAAACGTAGATTGCTTATTGCCTTGATACTAGGATGTTCAGTGTAGTCAGTGTCAGATCTATGCTCTAACTGAATAATATTGGCAAAGTAATCACTAAAGACACACCCATGGTCGGAAACAACACTACTGCCCTCAACGAGGATGACGCCTTGTGACGAGGATGACGCCTTGTTATGAATTTCTTGTGAAAAAGGAGCCAGATTCCCCCCTCTGGGGCAGATCACGGTTTTTAAAAGAAATTCAAAATGACGGAGGGAGATAATGTGTATTTCTATCTATGTAACAACAACAACATCTCATATTTATCTGCTCCATCCTGCACTAACCTGAAACTACGTGCAGCATACTGAAGTAATTGGCTCTAAACTGCAGCATCCTGCACCAACCTTCACCAACCTGCACTAGCTTGCACAATTTTGCACCAGTCTGCACAGTCCTGCACAATCCTGCTCATACCTGCACCTACCTGCACCATCTTGGGGCAGTCTGCACCAACGTGCACTATCCTGCCCCAACCTTGACCAACATGTACTATAACTTGTACCTTCGTTCAACATCCTGCACCAACATGTACCAATCTGCACCATCCTGCACTAACTTTTACCATCCCTCACAGTCCTGCTCCATTCTGCACCAATCTGCATCATCCTGCACCAACTTGTATCATTCTGTACCAGCTTGCACCATTCTGTGCCAGTCTGCACCATCCCGCACCAAACGGCTCCATCCTGCACCATGCTGCACCAACTTTTACCAACCTTGACCACCCTGCACCATCCTACACTATCCTGAACCAACCTACAACAACATGCACCATCCTGAACTGACCTGCAGAAAAATGCAGCGACTTGCACCATCCTGCTTTAATCTGCACCAATTGTCACCAACCTTCACCAACCTCCACCAACCAACACTAACTTGCAGTATCCTGCACCCTACTGCACCAAACTGCACCATCGTGCACCAACTTTCACCATCCTGCACTTACTTTCACCTACCTGTACTTTCCTGCAGCAATCCGCACCAACCTGCATCAACTTTCACTAACCTGCATCAACCTTTACTAACCTGCACCATCCTGAACTATCCTGATCCAATCTGCAACACCCTACTTCATACTGTATCATCCTGCAGCAATCTACACTATCCTGCACCATTCTGTACCATTCTACACCACCTTGCCCCAATCTACACCATCCTGCAGAATTATGAGATCAATATTGACGCCAGATATAAAATATAAATCATCTTGGTGTTCCTGTTTTCAAAATGCACTTATTTCCTGCCGGAAAAAATCTAAAATGAAGTTAAACCACAGTGAAATACGTTACTTTAGCTTACTCATTATTCATGCGGACTCAAAGCCTGCTTCATCATGTCTTTCGTACGGAATGCCTCATTGGACTGATAAGGATTTATTCCCCTTTTCTTGACATAATTAACCGAACGTTTCACTTTTGGTGTGCAACGAACGCTTCCTTTTGTCATCCAGGAACTGCATGTAACAAATAAACGCCAACTGGAAGTCAGCCGAAGACAGATGTATTAAAAGACAACTATCCCAAGATGGAGTATTTCTGTCAATGAAACCTGAAAATCGACAAATCATTGAACGGTCCTACCTAGGGGTCAAAAGTGTTATCGGTATTATTTAAATAAGGAAATGTTCAGGGCAAACATGCATAATTTTAGGCATACAAAAATTTATTTGGGGCATTTGGACAAAGACGTAACTTTCTATTAAGGAAGAATAAACGCAATCTAAGTATGATACATGGTCGTAAAAAGGGTGTTCCAGAATGGCTGAGGTTTGAGTTGGTGAAAGCTGTATGTGTAGGTCATGTTCCTTAATCCGTTCATTCATTCGTCTCCCAATTCGAGTATTTGGAATTTGTCGAACTCGAGAATATGGAAAAGGTAGCAAAGATGCAGCTTTCGAACAGACCAAGAGCTAAAAATGTCACATCATCACAATTAGTTAGACTAACTCGTTTCGATTGGCGGAATAATGCAATTGACTTAAATTGTGCTAACTCCGGGTTAGCGATAGATTTTTTAGAGGCCGCTTACAGCATCTCAGACTACGTCATCAATGAGGTTAAAAAGCGTGTTAAGCACACTAGATAAGATGAGATAAGATAAGAACCTTTATTTAAGTGTCAGAGTATTTAGCCCAAAGGGACTAACTGGGGACATTAACTATTAAAAGAAAATGCTAAAAATGGGTATTTACAATTAATATCTATACCCTCAATAAAATACAATGGTAAGTAGACAACTACAATACTGTGATACTTAAATTGTTGTCTATTCACTTCAGAGTTTATAACAGTTTCGATTATCAGAAATATACCCCGAAAAGTTCAGTTTTCTAATTTTGTTCCAAAAACTGGCTAAGCTAGCTAGAAGCTTCTCGTAGTCTTTGTTTAGTTTAGACCATAAGAAGGGAACTATATATCTGATCGAACCATACTTGACTTTATACATCAGTACTACGATGTCTTGAAGTCTGTTATACAACTTGGGAAGGTTAGCCCTCTCTAAGAGTTCTTCATACGTATCGGAGTGGGATCTATATATGGCTCGACTCAATGCCCGTTCTTGGTATTCGTTCCACCTTCCTTTTGTCTGACGACTTACAAAAATGCTATATTAGGTGGCAATATGTAAGGTGGGGCAAAATAAAAGCTTCATACAGCAACAGCTTAGCCTTAGATGGTATTAAATGTCTTAAACGCGATAGTATCCCGACTTTTTGGCTAGTCTTATTTTACAGCTCACTTATATGCTTCTTTTAATCAAGGTCGTCGTCGATGTGGACTCCTAGTAGTTTAATGTCCTCTGATTTGTCAATGGGTAGGCCATCCAGGCTTAGCACTTCATCACTCGTATCTCCATCAATTTTTCTTGGGTTGATATTTAGGAACTGAAACTTCTCTTGGTTAGCTGATAAAGTTTATTTGAATACCATATCAGAGCTTGCTTGCTGCTTGTTTTCAGTTGCTGTCTAACTATTTCGTGATTTGTTCGATTCACATGCAATTGATGGTCATCCGCGTACATGGTTATGTTTCCATTCTCGACATGCAGCGGTAGATCATTCTGGAACATGTTCCATAGTAAGGGCCCAAAGATGATCCTCGCAGACATCTACGTTTCATAGGTTTCCAAATGCTTGTAATTTCACCCCGTTTTACTCTGTTTCGTCTGTTTTACAGAAACGATCGCATCAAGTCGAGAGATCCACTTCCAAAGCCATAAGCCTCCAACTTCTTTACTGTCAGAGAGTGACTCAAACAGTCGAAGGCCTAATACTCATATCAGTAGATAGAACATAAACGAGTTGTTTTGAGTCGACAGCCAGTTTCCAGTCCTCTATCAGTCCACGAAAGGTCGTCTCACAGCTATTTGACTTTCTGTACGCTGTCATTTTCGAGTACAGGAAGACAAAACATACAAGGTAAAGAAGTCTAGTGTATTTAATGATTAAGGGAGGTACAGATTGAGAAGTTTAAAGTATTTTTCCATGTTACTGGTCAAAAGAATGGCTGGTGGGGAACTGCAATACAGCGTTCTTAATTTTCGGTATTCAGTGCAGCGTTAGGTACTCCTTCATTAATTTGTCCAGGCAAAACTCTGGTTGCCGTTACGTTACTAAAGGAGAAATTCGTCACCTGCGACCTAACTCTTTCGATGGTGTTTTGCTGGGAATGAAAAAAGAGAATGTAGATTCTGGGTCCGAACATGCATCCCAACAAACCAAACGAAGTTACTAAAGTCGTAGTACAAGACACAATTGTCACGCTCCAGCTCTCAAAAGCAAACAGCACAGGGTAATATGCCAGCGATGACAACAGTAGAATACACATAGAGAACCCTATGTATCTTGTCTCGTTAAAGTTGTCAGGAATTCCCCTTGCTTTGAAAGCGTAATACGTACATAGGAAAGCCACAATGAGCGTGTAAGCACAGACTGCGATGAACAGTGCAAGGCCGACTTTGGCGTCAAATGGTTTACACACAAGAAAGACGTACTCATCTAGGCGGATGATTTTGTTACGCCTCGGGGGGTCAAGAAAGATCCACAGGGCTAATAAACAATGGAGAGCTAAATTCATAACAGAGAGAAAGATGCCTTGCCTTGTTAAGGTTTTGTAACACGGTGCAAACAACTTCGCCAATTTATCAACCTCAAAGACGCTTGCTATTCGCATAGTTTTCAAAAAGAGCACCGTGATACAAAGATTGAGACCAAAATAGCGCCAGAAAAATGTTGCGGTGCAAAGTGAATGGCTGGGCTCAGTAAGTTCGAGAAAGGCTAATATAAAGAGAGATGAGATACCAAAGAGCAACAGAAAAGAGATCTCTCTGTTAGAAGCCTTGACGACTGGGGTGTTGAAAAACTTGATGTAGGTGCCTCCAATTAACAATATGAGAATAAAACCGATGGAAGCCACCACTGTTATGGTAATTCCAGAGACATTTGAATGCGTGATGTTGATGACTGGTAACTTTTCACACCTACTTCGCCCTTCGTTTGACTTTGTCTCTGGGTCACACCCAGTGCAGCTAATAGATCCGACTTTGGTACTGACAGTTCCCAGTGGACACTTAATACAATCCCAGCAACATGGCTCGGTTTTCTTCTTTCTGGTACCAGGTAAACATTCTGATGAACAAGAGGATAACGGGGTGAAGGGAGTTCTCCATCGTAGCCTGGACAAATCTACTTTGAGTTTGGGCGTGTTTTTTTTGTTCCAAGCTCCAACCAGAATATTTTTGCGAGCTCCGTCTGTGGTTGAATCAAGCCGGAAGTTTATGATGTCGTAGGAAGCGGTTAAAGGATCACCAAACTTGTCAAATCGCACCCTGCCAGTTCCGCCCTGAAAACTAATATTTCTGAGATATTTCTTTAGATCATGTCCCTTTACAACTGGCTTTACTAGAGGACAATTACCTCTTTTACCAGCATCATGTATAGTATGAGAACAGCGGTAAATGTTATCTAGGGCATGTGCAATAGCATATACAGCGTCAATTATGTAAGAAACGAAGGAACCGCGTATCTTTTGAAGCGCATGGTGTAAAGTCAGATTTGCTTCGCAAAGTGCAACCCCAGAATCGTCGGCGTTTGTGGCTGAACAGTTAAATTGTAATCTCCAGAATTCTTCCCACCACTCTGCGCCTCTTTCAATGCTTTTGGCAGGGGTGATCGTCTTAAGGTGCTCTTCAAATTCGGGAACAGAATAATCATGTGGCTTTATTCCCAAGGAGCCGTTTAGTATTGTGAAGTGAGAGTTAAGATTTACTGTCAGTGCGTCGCTAAGTATCCAAGTCTTTTCTTCAAGATTTTGAGCAGTAGCCTCTGCAAAAAATGCTCTTCCTTGACCGCCAGAAAGCCAAACAATGATCACTGCAACTTCAGACCTCCTTTTAATCTTGAGAACAGTTTGCTTTGTTTTATTCCAATGGCCTAGCCGTGGAATATACTCAGAAAAAGCAATGCAAAATGTTTTCCGGTTGTAGGATTCCTTTTCCAGCGCCGAAATACCGTTCTGTCCATAAGAATCATCCAACCCGACAGCCGCCACGTAAGTCCAGTTAAAGAGCTCTATGATGTCTGCCATGACCTCTGCTTGCCATTTGTCTGGTGGAACTGTTCTGAAAAAGTCTTTGTACATTTGTGAACTTAACTCATCGCTTGTTGCACTCGGGCTGATGGCGGGAATGTCAAAAACCTGAAGCAGACTTCCTACTAGCACTGCGCTTGCGGAATCGGCAGGGCCAACTAACGCTGAGATGGTCTTGGTGTTGTTTTCCTTGACATAGCTGGTGGGGGAGGTGCTGATGTTTTGGTTAGACATATGTACTGAATCGCCATTACACGTGAACATGAGGTCATAGGCCATCTTCACGGCCCGAGCATTGCTCCCACAGTAGTCTCTTAAGTCGTATCCGATGGTCACGTTCGGTAAAATACTGGAATTCTTGTTAATTTTCTCAATAGTGAAGATCGTAGCCTCTGCGTATCCCAGATCAGCGGTAGAGATCTCAGTACATTGATCACTAGTGCCGGGATAGTGGATGTCGAGTAGACCACCAACTATAATGTCGCCTTCTTTATAATTTCTATATCCTTCGTTAGGTGGAAGAAATACAAAATGTAGCAGTATAAAGAGAGGCGGTTTTAAGATGCATGAAAGCATTATGTATTTCCTCCACTTCATCGGTCTTGTGTGGTTTGCACTAAAACAAATCAAAGGAATATAGTTTTAACCTTGCGAACAGTTTCAAGAAAGAATTGCGTTCAGTAGTAAGAACTATTCTTTCCCATGCAACTACAGTCAAACATTTATCGAGCAACCTTGTTTTGAGCGGTAACGTGCTTAAGTTCCCGATATCGTTTCCACAAATCATTGTAAAACTGGCTTATACTGAAAACCCTTCACATATATTCAGCAGTCAAAGTACCCTTTTTAACTCGGAGTTACCCGAAGGATATCTGCGATTTGTAAAGGTCTTTATAGTGTTGGCTGCCATGTGCAAATGAGTTACTCACTTTCTTTGTGTGGACACTGCCACATTTGTGCAACGGTAAGGGACTGAATGAATGAAAAAATCATTAAAACATTGTAGCAAAAGACACCGAAAACGGAAACCGAAATCACTGAGATGCAAGCAAAAATAATTTGATAGCCTTCATAAGAATAGAAGGGAAAGGCGAAAAAGCACTAACTCCGGATATATTTTCCTTAAATATTGATTTATAGTTACAACAAAATATTTCATTTATAATGTATATGCAGGCGCTCTCAATATTAAATATTGTACCGTTTACATCTTGGATGTTTCGAAACTATATTTTCTAAAGCACTTTATTCAACTTACAAAAAGTTGGGTCAATGTCGCTACGCTTAAATGAGGTCAAAAACGGCCGCTTACAACAGCTAAAAAATATGAAGGGAAAGCAACAGACTGGCAGTACGGATTATTTTTCAAATAAAATTAAGGATGGAATTTTTAGACCAATGAATACTTTAATTGCGATCACCAGACTATTCTGTGTACTTAAGTTAACCTATTGTCGTTTGCATATGGCTTCTTAGACGAAACCTTCAAAAACTAACAAGCAAATTATACGTCGTCTTATCCATTCATAAAGCTGAATCACGTTGAGCTACAAAAGGGGCATTTTTCGTGAAGTCTCATATCTTAACTTGACGCTTCTGTGTAAGAGACGATCTGCTTTAAAGACAACTAATTCCCTTATAATCCTCAGTAAGTGACTGAGGATTTGGACTTTTTATCCTCAGAGGACTGCCCACCGGTTCTTTTCTTATAAGAAATAATTTCCCTCGCTCATAAATTTTTAAAAGAGTAACTTGTATGACGTTTTGAATAATTTAAGTCCTATTACGCGATTACGACAGAAAAATTAATGACTATATTCTGCCCTACTATTTCCTGTTTTCTTTAAAGAAACCACTTTAACTGGCGCAGCATTCAAATCAGATGAGTTAACCCTAACAAGAAAAGAAAGCTGATCAAATGGGTAAAAAAACGTTTAGAGAGTTTGAAAACGGTTAGAGAGGCATGATGTTTCCAATGAAAATTTAGTTGTCAGTAAGCTAACTTCAAGATGCTGCATAATGTTTTTATTGTCACCTGGCTGTATTTCATTTTGATGCGGCAGTAGAAGAACACGAAAAAAATAAAAAGTTAAAACTATACAAAACTTTAGTTGTCAGTATGCAAATTTCGAGATGCTGTTATTTTGAATTCACCTGCCAAAATTTTGACCGGTCTGACTATAGATTGTTCCTGGAGCGTGAGCAAGGACAAGACTCGATGTAACGGTTGACCCTAAACTGGTGAAGTTTTCGCGACGACGAACGAAAGCTGCATGTCTGGGACTCCTTTTCCTCTCCCCAGAGTCTGTATGGGTGGCTCAGAACCAATTTTTTTCGCATGGATAGGCTTCAAGTTTCTGCAACAATCATACGGAGGTTCCGCTGCAAAAAAGTGTGATTCACGTGCAAACATGGTGTTTTGCTAATTTGCTCTGTTCTCTTTGCCGTCTCCGTCGTCGCTGCTTAACGTAGCAAGTCATCAACGTTTTTGAATATTAAAGTACTAGTTGACAGTGGAATTAGTTGGGAAACATAGTGCTTTTGCAGGTTAAAACATTCACTTGTCACTCAATCCTAGTTGCTGTAGCAAGGCTTTATTACATTAGTCCTGTTATGAACCTACTGTGTGTCACGATCTTGTCTTAAAAAAAACAAAAACTAACTAAAAAGAGATCCTCATCACTTACCAATCTTCGTCGGTATAAATGTTGTGACTAACAACTGTGTGTGTTGACATAAAATATGAAATCCAGACAGTTCACTGACGTGATAGCAATATTGAAGATTAAAGCCTTTATTATGCATGCAAACAACACGCTGTAGATGGGCAATGTTGGACTTCCCTTGGACTTCCTGCATACTAATTTGGATTTCCTGCATACTAATTTAGTGCTTTCCTCCAAATATAATGAACTGGATAGTCGTTTCTTGAAAGAACACAACAGCCTTGCCTCGACTTGCCCGTGAAGTAACTTGAGCCAGGTTTACGGAACGCCCGTTAAAAGGAAAATAGGAATAAGAGGAGCGATCACCTAACAACGCGACAAACGGCTTCCTACAACTTATTCATCGCTAAAACTCAGGTATATAAACAAAACACATATACAAAGTGGAGTTGAAAAGTCTTTATTTTAATTCAGTTTATGTCTTGTCATTTAGCGCTAAGACTCGGATATATAAACAAAGCAAACATAGATATACACAAAGTGGAGCGAAAAAGTCTCTATTTCAATTTTGTCCGACTATTACAGAACCGCGTTTTCTCCTATCTATCTCGAGGAAATTAAAAATTATTGAAGTCTCAGCGTTTCACGCGCCGTTAGTCAGGTAATTATGCGAGTTCACAAGCCCACCGTTGCATACAAATTAGCTGTGCAGTAAGAACCCCAAGGGAGCATCTTGACTTATTATTTTAAAAACACACGCACAAAAGACAATTAATAACTTAACAAGGATCAATTGAAACACGCGACTAATAATTGCTAGCAATTAAACCAGACACGTTTCTTAAGACACAAGTATTCAACTTTATGACCCTCGATTAGATTAAAGATTCTATTAAAATAGTCAAAGAAGGCAAGCCATCCTTTTTTTTTTCACACTGCGCACAATGTTGTACTTACCCCTTTCCCTTTTCAATTTTATTCCCTTCCTCAATGTTTTTATTCCCTCCTCCACAAATTTATTATTTTCCCTCCTCAATGTTTTTATTCCCTCCATTACAATTTTTATTATTTTCCCTCCTCAATGTTTTTTATTCCCCTCTTCCACCTCCACCTCCTCATTTATTCTATATATTTTTCCACCCACAAATACATCGACCTCCTATCGACCCTACATCGACCCCACACTGAATAAACTACGTCCTATTAACCCTCGCATTTTACGTACCCTTCTTTGTGTTAGCACCTTAAATGAGTGAAAATCGTCATGCGACGTTAATGCTAACTAATTTTCGCTTTTCAAGGTAGTATTATTATCATTATTATCATTACTATCATTATTATCAGTTAGATTAAAGTTTTTATGTTTACCTGCAACTGCTCTATTATTCACAATTTGATGTTCCTGCCGACTTATGGACGCCATTGCCAGAGAAAAGCGACAAACCAGATGAACATATTTCGTCCTACTATTCCCTTTTTTCCTTGAAAAAACTACTATTAGGCGAATTCAAATCAGGCAAGGTACCCCTGACAACAAAAAACCTTGGTCAAGAAAGCGCAAATTGTTTAAGTTTCAAAAGGATTAGAGAGGCTTGATGTTTCTGATCGAAATAAAAACATCCAACGCTCAAATTATTTGTCGGCACTTCGGTGATGATTAACAGTCCTTGTCTAGAGTTGATTAATTTCTGGTTGTTTGTTAATGATAAAAGACAAGTTTAATAACTTTATTGTAGATTAATCCGTTTGTCAGTTGCATCCTGCACCTGGCAGAGTAGTTGCTGGTGAAATTGAAACTCTGGTTCCTAAGGAAATTACAGTAAAGGAAATAAGCAGTTATTTCTGGCACAGCTAAACTTTATATCCACTTTTCCTGGCCAAACTAGCTTTGAGTAAAAGACGAATCGTGGTAACAGCTGTATTTCATTTTGTGGCGGCAATAGATGAACACGAAAGGTTAAAAATGTAAAACAAATACATTTCTAGATCTAGCATAAGTTTTTACGCTTAAATTCACCTGTCAACGTTTCGACCAGTCCATAACTAGATTGGCTCTGGAGTGTGAGCAAATTCGTGACCAAGCTCAACGCAAAGCCTTTATGTATTTTGGAAAGCACACGTGATAACCTCCATAAGAATAGAAGAAAAAAAATGCAGGGGAGCCTAATTTCTGGACAATAGTGAAAAAAAAAGGTGATGAGAAGGCAGTAGGCCGGCAAGAGATGCTTTTTCAAATTTATATTGAGGATAGATTTCCTAAACCAATACTGAAAATCGTCAATGTTCATGCCCGTAAATTCCGCTTTTCAAGGTGGTATCCATTTTTATATACATGTATAGTGTCACTTAGGTAAAATTTGTTATGTTCACCTAGTCAGCAGGTGACCTATTCTTCCTGTATTACTTAGTTTGATGTGTCTGTTGACTTATGGAAAAAAAAGGAGCAAACAGGATGACTAAATTCTGCCCTACTATTTCCTGTTTTCTTTGAAGAAACCACTTTAACTGGTGCATTCAAATCAGATAAGTTAACCCTAACACGAAAAGAAAGCTGATCAAATGGGTACAAAATGTTTAGTGAGTTTCAAAACGATTAGAGAGGCATGATGTTTCTATAGTGAAAGTTTTAGTTGCTACTTTATTTTTCAACAGACAGTCTCTTGTGTGTTGATTATAATTTCCAGTTGTTATTAAACGGTAAATGACAAGTTTAATAAATTCAAAGCAGAATTGAAGATTAAACATTTGTTTGGCATGTTGCATCTGGCTAAGTAATTGCTAGTGGATTAAAAACTACGTAGTTCATAACGAAGATATAAGAAAGGGAATTAACACTCATCACTGACATAGGCATGGCTAAACTTTATATCTAATTTCCAGGGTCAAACTGCTTTGAATACAACACGAATT